GCCACTTAAGGATGAACAATTTGGAGTATAATCTTGTAAGTATTTTATTCTCAAAATTAGTTTTAGGTAGATTACTTCAATAATGTTCAACTGTTATTTTAATTATATACATAATAAAGTCGTTAACAAATATTGTTATCTAAATAAATGTTTTATCTTTAAAAAAATAGAATTATCCAGAACAGAGGTCACTTAATGGCGATGTTGTTATCAGCACGGTCCGGCATTGCTGTGTTGGCCACTGCATTCGTCATGAGTCTCGATGCATGTGCGCGGAAACGGAGACATCCCAGCGAAATCTCACCACCAGCAAGGTCCACACAGCGGTGGGACTAACGATGCGTTTGGTTGTGCACGACGTTCACACATCACAACTCGAACGAAGCGTCACCGCGTCATCTGCACGTTTATTGATCGGCTCGGGTTGTGCAGTGGGAAAAAAAACAACAACACCTCCTGAGCCGTGCTGTGCTGGCTTGGCACTGCCCCAGCACGGTTCGACTGTGCAGTGAAAACGGAGCACGAGAGGCCAACGGCAAGGAAGCAGAACTGGAGTGCTGACCTCTGTGGAAACTCACAATAAACATGCAATGCCAGGTCAACGTTAGCTGACATTACAACGTGAAGTCAACGTTGCATGTTTACTGGGCTGTAGTGAGGGATGCCAGGTAGAGGTCCTTCAAGTGTATGGCTATTAACTATTGTTTTATTTTACCAGGTAAGGCCCACTGAGCTATATAGATATTTTTTTCAGAAACGACCTGGACAGAAATGATAGCTCAACGAAGTGGCTTATCGTGTGGAAATGTATCGAAGCCAAATACTAAATGTGGTAGGGACAACCCGGAAGACCTGGAAAAAAAATCCACGTGACCACAGGAGAGAGAGACACGCAAACTGCAAATACACAACAGCAGGCGTCAGGGTCGGATTAAACCCACGACCTCCTGTATACCAGGCGAGGTAGTTAACATCTCCTAGCCACCACAGCCCCAACTAGATTACAACTACCGCACACAGTCTTGACCGCCTTGTAAATCACGTCAGAATGTCTACATTGATCGGATTTTTGTTAACATTCACAAATTTTGTCCGTAGAAATCGAGTAACACAAATGAGCCCGTCAACTTAGGAACCATGAAGTATTTCGGAAGCAATTAGCAATCTGGTGTTCGACTCTAATTCCAGTCGCTTCTGTATTTCCCGGAGCTTTATTGTCAGCCTTGGAATCGATTTTAATTAATTAATCGATCTTGCATTATTAAGACAAACCCATGATAGCGAGTGGGAAATGTAAGTAATACAATTTAAAACGTAAACTTGAGAAAGTATAAGAATCCAATTCTGAGAAAGCACTGGCGATAGCGTGCGGTCTGTTTCACATCAGTGTCAGCTTTGTGGCACGAATAGAGTTTTATAGCGTGAGTAAGACACGTCCCAAGAACAATTCAACTCGAGCCGTAAATATTCCACCACCAAAGATGCCAGTAGGGGACTATGATAGCATAATTTGCCACACATGCCGAGTGATATTCAATACGCCAGCAATCCATAAGGCACACATTTTTAAATATGTATAATTCACGTTTTTACAGCAGCCCTCCTTTGTTTCACAACACAGCTCCGCGTCTCTCCACATGAAGATTTACACCCGAGAAGCATAATGAACGGTGGAGTCGCGGTCGAGGCTTGCACGAATTCGATTCTGGGCCACGGCTATCAGCAATGATTGATATCAGAGCCGGTCTGCGGCCGTCTGGAACGCTCTTCCTTCCGATATTCGGAAGCCACTGGAGCTAGGCACTTTTAAATATAGATTGAAAACTCATTTCTTTAGAACTGCTTTTTTGTGTTTAGTTTCGTGTTCTTGCCCCACACCGAAGGTTAGCATGGTTGGCTACGTACGGTGCTAAAGAAATTCAACGTATATTGACCTCTCCCCTTCACCAACCCGCACTCATCAAAGCAGTGAATTATGATAAGACAAAAGAAAACCCGAT